GCTGTCCAGCCAACAGAGAGGGTTCCCCAGGCAGATCTCATTGTTTCCCCAGAGATCAAAACACACTACTTTGTGGCTGCAAATTGTTTCACCTAGTACAAAGCTCTTTCTCATGTAGAAGTTCCATTTGACCCCCAAAGGGAATCAGGGTGGTAGTATGGACTTTGGAATCTGCTGGGGTGATTGGAACATAGGGAGGGGTTTGAGCTGATAGATAACTTAAACCAGGGACTAGGAAGCTGGAGGCAGGAAGTGAGGGCATGCGAAGTCCTTTGAGCCTTGATTTCTTTTTGTAAAATGGTAATAATGCCACCACCTCATGCACTTGCTGTCCGTGTGCATCGACATCATGATTCTCAAACTGAGAGTGGGAGAAGAAGGTAAAGGATGATGCTGCTGAATACACATGGCACATACATCTTCCGGGAATTTTTTGAGAATTTGGAGGTGGGAGCGTTTTATAATAAAACTTGGATTATTATGCAGCATAATGCAAGCCTTGTATGTATTTAAAGAGTGAAAAGGAGTTTTGAAAGAGCTGTCATGCTAGTAGTGGGCTGCTTCTGGCTACACCCCTAGATTCCTGTGGATTGGACACGTGATCACACCCCAGTGTGCCATATAAGGACTACAGTAGGAAAGCAGGAGCAGTTCTTCTCGTGGAGGTTGAGAAGTGCCTGGCATGCAGTAGGCGGTCAGTAAATGGTGGCTTGTATTATGGCAGCAGCTATGACTTCTCAGAGGAAACAGGCTCACACAGATGAAGGTCTCCCTTGGACTCAGCTAGAAAGTGACAGAACCAGGACTCACTTCCAGTGCTATGTCCCCATCCAGTGCTGTCACTAACCTCTATCCCCTCCATGTGGGAAAGGGCTTAATGGTCAGCAGCTTTCCCCTGCTTAGGCCACTACCCCAGTTCTCCCTCTCCCTCAGAACTCCCTCCGGTAGTGGAGGGTGGATTCCTGGGTCCCTGCCCTATGGGAGAGCCCTGGTGTAACTCCTCTAAAAGCCGGCACTCCTGGGAGGAGGCAGCAGATACACAGTTTGGATGAGCAAACCTGTGCACTATTAACCTGTAGACATAGGAATGATGGGTTTTGGGTGGGGAGAGGAAAGGTCCAGAGTATGAGATGCTCTCAGGATTGGATGGAGGCCAGAAGCAGTGGTCATGAGGCAAGACGACATCAAAATCTACACTTCCCTCCTAGTTTCATCAAAGATGACAGGCCCTCAGCTCTGCATCCCATTTTCTTTTTTTTTCCTTTCAATTTTTATTACAGATTTTGTTACAGATGTTTCTCCTTTTCCCCCTTAGACACCCTCCTCCCCATCCTGCCCCCCCCCCACATTGTTGTTTATGTCCGTTGGTTATGCATACAAGTTCTGTGGTTCATCTCCTCCACCCCCCCCACCCACCCTGCATCCCATTTTCAAAGCTCAGATTTCTAGGTCCAGATTAGGACCAAGGGTACCCTGGGTCTTGCCAACTGATGAGGAGTGATATAGCATCCAGGGATAGCAGAAATTTGAGGAAATCACAAGCCATTCCTTCTTCAGACCCTGCCAGGCTGGCCTCCCTGCCCTGGGCCTTTGTAAAGGTTTGTTTCTGTGATTGTCTCCCTAAATGAGAGAAACCTATGGTCCCAAAGTGAATGAATCAACAATCCAGATTTGGGTGTGCTCTCCCCTTCTCCCTCTTCTCCACCCACAGGTGTGCATCTCCTAAATTCTAAGGGACCCAATGAGACTTGCAACCAGGGCAGCAATGAGCAGGGGCAGCTTGTCCTGAGCTTACCTCCTGAACCTGTCACCAAGGCCCCCTTTTCTCTGACTCTACAGTGAGCTGGTAGCAGCCCACCTTGGCTCACTCTTTTCCCCATAAAGTTTCTAGTGAACTACAGCAGCCCTGCGTAGTCTCTCTGCTGTTGCTTCTTCTATTCTAGGCCCTCTCTTGTTTCACTGTTCCCAGTTTTAATGACTACTCTCAAATATTAAAAAAAAATTCTGATTTGTCCAGCTTCTGCTTCATGCCAAAAAATGAGGTTGGGGGAGAGAGAGCCTGTCACATTCAAGCCTCATTTACTACTCAAAACAACCCAGTAAAAGCAGTTATTTTCCCATTTCACAGATGAAGAAACTGATGCTCAGAGTCTTGTTTCTCAGGCCCCAAAATATCCCAGGGCATTGGTAGAAATGCAAAATTTTGTTACCACCAAAGACCTACTCAGAATTTCCCTGTGATAAACCCAAGAATCTGTATTTTTTCAACAAGGGTGGTCATCCGGTGATTCCTATGTTCACAAAAGTTCTAAAACCTTTACAGAGCAGTTTAATAACCTGCCCACGCAGCTTTTGAGCAGCAGATCTGGGATACAAGACCTGAGCCTTCTGACACTAAGTCCAGCGTTCTTTTCAGCACATTGGAGAAGCTGGATATCTGTCACCACCCTGTGTGTCTCAATGTCCACCACACAGGCGCACAATAAACTCCTGAGTGAACAAACGAATGAATCATCAGGCCCTAACTGCTTGCGGTGGGGCGGGGCAGGCCAAGTCCCTGTCCTGAGGAGGGAGGGCTTAAGCGTTGAGACACTGGACATGCAGGCCCTGACCTTGTTGCTTTCAGAAAAGCCACTGGCAGAAAATCCGGACGGTGGTGAATCTGCCGGTCATGAGCCCTTTCAAGAAGCGCTACTCCTGGGTACAGCTGGCTGGGCACACAGGTGAGCGTGGGCAGGCGCGGGTGGGGTGGGTGAGTACCCAGGGGAGGGAGGGACTAGGCGGCGTTAACTGGTGCCGGTCTGCAGGGAGTTTCAAGGCGGCGGGCACCAGCGGGCTGATCCTGAAGCGCAGCTCGGAGCCTGAGCGCTACTGTCTGGGGCGGCTGATGGCCGACGCGCTGCGCGGCTGCGTGCCTGCCTTCCACGGCGTGGTGGAGCGCGACGGCGAGAGCTACCTGCAGCTGCAGGACCTGCTCGATGGCTTCGATGGGCCCTGCGTACTTGACTGCAAGATGGGCATCAGGTACGCATGCCCTGTGGGCCTCGCGGGAACCTGGGTGGGGGGCGCGGAGGCGTGCTCAACCGGTCCGGTGTGAGTCTGCTCAAGCCCGGCCGCTGCCTACGCCTCGGTAGGACTTACCTGGAAGAGGAGCTGACCAAAGCCCGTGAACGGCCCAAGTTACGGAAGGACATGTACAAGAAGATGCTGGCGGTGGACCCTGCGGCACCCACCGAGGAGGAACACGCACAGCGCGCCGTCACCAAGCCGCGCTACATGCAATGGCGAGAAGGCATCAGCTCCAGCACCACGCTTGGCTTCCGCATCGAGGGTATCAAGGTGCGCCAGGCTCCCCGTCCTTACTCCACCCCAGCCCCACATCTCGGTGTCAAACCTCCAAGTTGGTCCACCAACCCCCTGAATAAGCACCCTCTGGCGGCTGTCTCGCTGATTCTTGCCTCCAATGTCCAGGGAGGTACTGCTGCTCTAACTGATCCTCTCCCCTCTGGCGGGTACGGGCCCCTGACACTTCCTGTCCCACCTCCTTAAGAAAGCCGACGGATCCTGCAGCACAGACTTCAAGACTACTCGAAGCAGGGAGCAGGTGACCCGCGTCTTCAAGGAGTTTGTGCAAGGGGATGCGGAAGTGCTGGTGAGTGCTGGATCTTAGAACCCTGAGCTGTTGGGGAGCCTGAAACTGAGGGATGTCCCCAGGTCATCCTGTCTAGTGCCCTCACCTATGTGACCCCCATTGTAGCATTTTATCACATTGTAACTGTTATACGTTCCTTTCCTTCTGTTCTGCGCTCCATGTGACGGCCTTTGTTTTCCTCCAGGGTATTTACCAAGCTGAGCATGTATCGTGACCCCTAATATTAGCAGGGGCTCAATTAGTGTTGTTATTTTGCCCTCCTCTTCTACCCTACCCTGTCCAGAGGAGGTATCTGAACCGCCTGCAGCAGATCCGGGATACCTTGGAGGTCTCTGAATTCTTTAGGAGGCATGAGGTAAGAGGAGTAGGGTCAGGTTCCCAATCTGTGGTCCTTGAGGGATACACCAGAATGGGGGGTGGGGCTTCTCCTGGGGAAAGGGTTGTAGCCTGACCACACGGGGCCCAACAGGTGATCGGCAGCTCCCTGCTCTTCGTGCATGACCACTGCCATCGAGCTGGTGTATGGCTCATCGACTTTGGCAAGACCACGCCCCTCCCTGAGGGCCAGATCCTGGACCATCGGAGACCCTGGGAGGAGGGCAACCGTGAGGATGGCTATTTGCTGGGGCTGGACAATCTCATCAGCATCCTGGCCAGCCTGGCTGAGAGATGAGGCTAGGCCCCTGTCCCTGCACAGACTGGTTGGTCTGACAGATGGACCTGCGGCTTTGCCCCTGCAGTGCATGCTGGGAAGAGACAAACCCAGAGATTGGGGCAGTTCACAGGATCCTGTAAGGCCAGGTGCCAACTACTGGGGGATGCATTGCACGCACCAAGGCTGCTCCCCATACAAACCCAAGCAAGTGGTCCCAGAGCTGATGACACACTCATTTGCTGGGGGAGGGGTAGACTGTGACAATGGGCTTCTTCCTAGCCCAGCTCTTCTATGGAGATCTGTACTTCTCCAGAGAGGCCAGATAATGAATTTTATTGCACAGGCACTAGATCTATTGATCTAACCTTCCACACTACAATGGACTCCCCTCCCCAATAAAACTCAAAGACATCAGCTTTGGCGACTCAGGCTTCTTCTCCTCCTCCTCTGGTCCTCTCTTTCTCAGTTCCCAGGCACCCCTGACGTCCATTCAGGTCACTGGAGGATCTCAGAAGAGCCTTTTAAAAAATTTTATTGATTTGCTAGAAAGAGAAAAAGGAAGAAACATTAATTTGTTGTTCCACCCATCTATACATTCATTGGTTGCTTCCTTTATATGCCCTGACCAGGATCCAACTGGCAACCTTGGTGTATCAGGACAACACTCCAACCAGCTGAACTACCTGATCACAGTTAAAAGAGCTCTTTATCAAAGGCATCTGTAGGGTTGTGGACTGCCCAGATGAAGGATACTCATAGGGGAAGGGCAATCCAAAGGCTTCCTGCAGGAGGCAGTTTCAACTGGCCACCCAAATATGGAGGAGGGGAGCTGGCCTCTGCCCCAGTCCAAAAGTTCAAAGTCTGGGAGTGGCCAAGCTCTTTCCCAGGAGGCTTGGGCCTAGTTTTGTGGATGGAAAGTCCAGTGGTACAGGCCAACCTTGAGACAGGCCCAGGCATGCAGCACAAACGGGTGGGGGAGTGCTTAGGGGTGAGGAGGCTACTGGAATAACAAGCCACCTAGAAGCCTGGGGAGGAGTGCAGGGCGGAACCACTGCTAGCATCAATGCTGTGTCTTCACCTTCAGGGCCCCTTGAGGCCCAATAGGCACAGGTGGAATTCCAAAGGTTACCAGGTTGGGGGGGCTTGAGGACAGAGGGCAGCCAGGGGCCAAGGAAGCTCCCTTTCCAGCTCTCCAGACTCAGTTCCTGGGCATGTGGGGATCTTAGGCACTCCAAAGACCTGCTCCCTGGCCCAGAAGCCCCTTTCTCTTCCAGGGTAGGCCCTAGCTCCATTGGCAGTGGTAAATTCAGTACATCACGGTCCTGTAATGGGAGGGTGAGGGAGCAGGGGGCCAGTGTTGGTTTATGGCCTCTCTTCTGACCCCCAAGAGCAAGATGGTCAGGGCAGGTCACAGGCACACCTGAGTGTAGTAATGAAGACACTCCAAGATGCTGGCAAAACTAGGGCAGAGTTCAGGCTGGTGCTGCCAACACTGGGTCATGATACAATACCCTGGGGAGAAGCAGGAGTTTGTGCTCAACCATGGCTGTGAAGGACACCCTCCCTGGGCAACACTGCATAGTCACACAGGCCCTGGACTGCCCCAGGTAGGTCCACCCATTCCCCTCTGACTATGAAGTCCAGCACCTCCTGGTTGGTGTGTCCCGGTTAGGGCCTAGTGAGATCTCCCAGAGAAGTACCCCAAAAGACCTGCATCATGAGGCGGGGGAACCTGGTGAAGCCCATCAGGCACAGCCTCCCCTTTTCTTCCATGAGGTGGCCCAAGGCAGGGGAGGGGGAGGGCATGGTATCACCAGGAGTCTGTCTTAGTTGTGAAGATGCCCTCCAGGAAAGCCTCTGGGGGCATCCATTTGGCCAGCAGCAGAGCCTGGGCCCTGTTTTGGTAATAACTGGCTCTACAGGAGGGAGGAGGGGAGTGATGAGTTATTCAGATCATGGGGCTGCTGGGAAACTCCCTTGAAGCAGCAGCCTTCTCTGCTTCCCCAGGCCCCTCCCCTGTGGACATCTCTAGCCATCCCAGAGCCCCTAATCTTGGCCACTTGGCTGGACCCACTGCAGCTCAGCAGGCAGTTCCTGGCAGCAGTGTCTTTGCCAGAACTCAGAATCTCTAGCTCTGATCTACTTTCATAAAAATTATGTGAAAGGTCTCTTTCTTAGGCAGGGAGTTGGGCTAAGGGGTCCCATGGACCAGGTTGACTCCTGACCCGTAGATGAAGTGCTTTTCCTCCAGGTAGTGGCAGCCCTGGGCTATGTCCCGGGCCAGCTAGAGCAGGTCTTGCATGGCCAGAGGTGACAGCTGGCCCTGGGTTGGGCAGAGGTGCATTAGTCCGTGAAGGTTTAGGCATACATTGACAGGTTCTTTCTTTTATCCTCACCCAAGGACATTTTTTGTTGTTGTTGGTTTTTGTTGTTGTTGTTGTTGTTAGATAGAGTGGGAGGGAGAGGGAGAGAGAGAGAGAAACATCGACGTGAAAGGGACACATCAAGTGGTTGCCACCCGCACGACTCAATCAGGGCTGGGGACAAACTGCAACCAAGTTACATGCGGGAACCAAACCCAGGTCTCTCTGGACCGCAGGCCAATGTTCTCCGCTGAGCCAAACCAGCCAGAGCCATCGGACAGGTTCTTTAGAGGGGCCCGGAAGGCTGGGAGAAGGGTCTTACCAGGTGTGGCCTGCTGTGCCTCAGGAAACTCTTCATGTCCCCTCCAGACATCAACTCCGGCAGAATTAGGGGAGGGGCACCCTGGTCCCAGGTGCACCTGATGATGAGCGCCTATTCCAGGAAACCCTCCTGAGGAGAGCAGAGTTCCAGAATCTGGGGAGGAAGAGGGCACAGAGCTCCTGAGTTCCCCAGACACTTCAGGAGGATGGTTTGACCCTAGCATCAGCAACTGTTCTCCCTCCATGGAACCCTGTCTCCTTTCCCAGCCAGAAGCCCCACCCCCTCTCACCCTGCAGGGGGCTGGGGTCCTCAGGAAGGCCAATAAGCAGCCCTCACAGACCTCTCCAAAGGCAGCATGGCCCAGGGCTCTGCATGAAGCCGGTTCAGAGTGGGTAGCTGAGCCTGGGGAAGTGTTCTAGAGAGTCTAGAGTCTCTATCTCCCTTCCCCCACTCAGTCCCCAAGCTGGCCTTATCTGAGGATCAGCTTTCTCTACATTATGGCGTGTCCCCACGTGTAAGCCCTGCAGAGGCAATGTTGACTGGCACAGAGCCAAGGCAGAAGAGGGGACAGGTATAGGGGTCAGGGTGGGGGTGGGAGTCTGTATGAGGCCTTAGGTCCTTGCAGACAACCTGAGGTGGGGGCAACCCTTGCTCCAAAGGAATCATGTTCTAGGATCCCTACCATCCCAGAATTGGGGATGACATCTGACCCTGAACAAGTTATTTTCTCTTTTGGAGCTTCTTTGGCCTCTATGTCCTCTACACAAGGTGTTTGGGTCAGTAGCTGCCCACCAGGATCCATAATTCATCACAGCAGGGAGCAGGATGGGGGTGGGGATTCAAAAGTACCTAGGTTCTCAGAAGGAGGGGAAGGACCCACCTGAGCAGAGTGACATTGTCTGGGGAAATCTCGACAAGCCCTGGGGGCAGAGGCCAGGACTGGGGTGGGCCAAGCCCCATCTGGCAGTAGTAGGGATTGGGGGCTGTCCTGATGGTGGATTGAAGCTTGCTCAGCTTGAGCTTAGGGCCTGGCAGTCTTGTTCCTTACAGGCCCTGCCACTGCTTAGGGTTCACTGAGGGTGGGAGGAACCCTAAGCAGGGTGGGAATGCCATACTCTCTACCTGCCCATCAGCCCCACCCTCCTTTACCTCCCCCTGCCCAGGACACTTCTACAGACACCCATTAAGGCAGATGTTTACCTCTGGGGCTCCTCAGCTGCGTCCACCCTTAGAACTCCATAGGAGTTCGCCATTGCTCGGTCAGGAGTAGGGGGCTTGAAATCAGCCATGTCTGTCCCTGAAACCCTACACAGCTCAGTGGAGAGGAGGGTAGCCTTGAATCAGCCATGCCTGCTGGATGATCTGTACCCAGAATCAGAGGCTCAGTGTAGACGTCGCCATCACAGCCACTAATAGAACCAGAGGGCCTGGGAGTGGGGCAGGACTAGGGAGAAAGAGAGATACCTCCAGTGGGAAGCTCCTCTCTGTCCTTCTAGCCCAGGTTTTACCCATGCCTCAAGATTCAGCTCAGGTGTTAACTTTTCCATGATGCTTTTCCCACTTATCCTAGACAAATACAACCTCTCCCTCCTGAGAATGCCTAAAATACTTTACATCCCCCATGGCAATTGTCACTTTGAAATAAATCTCTATCTAGATATAGATAGACAGATAGATAAATAGATAGATCCATATATCTAGATAGATAGCGCCCCTCCCACACTAGACCATTAGACCACATGCTCCCTGAAGGCAGAGCATTCACTGATACATTGCCAGTCTCCTGCCCACACCCAACACAGTGCCTGGTACACAGCAGGCGATGTTCCCAGTGCCCTACTGCTCCTCTCAGCCAGTGGCCCCAGGAGTCTAGACCTTGGATAAAGGAAGAACATACTCCTGCAGGTGATGTTATTCACAGTTAGCTCCGTGCCCTCTAGTCACATGCATTTGACCAACCAGAACTCTGCCTGCCACTGACAGTCTTTCAAAAGGCAATGACTGCAACTGAGGTACAGTTTGATCTCCACTTCTCCACGGTTCTCTGTGACTGAGTAAAAGAACTGATACTGCAGTGTAAGGAAGGACAAGGTGGGGTGGGGTGGGATGGGGGAACACATACATTCTTTTGTCAGCCACATACTTTTGTCTAGCCCTGAACTTTGGAACAAGGAGTAGTGCCAGGCATTTAAGAGTGAGTGGGAGGCCTTGGGGGACTTCAGTCAGGCCTGCATACTCCCTCTTCTGGAATCCTTGAGCTTGCAGGTATTTGAGGGGAATTCCTAGCAAGGAGATACTTGACAAGCACCCTAGAATGCTCCATACTGGCATCACAACTGACAGCCCAGTTCCCAAATATTTCTGTCCTGTGCAAGAAGCAGGTAGTTCACAGTGCAGAGTTGCTGGTTCAGATTGGAGTGGGCTCAGGGATTGAGGAAAAGGGCTAGGCCAGGCTGAAAGGTTGGGGGTAGGAGCTAATATCTGCCAGAGGCTGCAGGTAGAGCTCACTGCTGGGTTTAGGAAGGAAACTCCATCTTCCCCATCAGCCCAGAGCATATCAGTCTCTGAGGCATCACCCCCTGGAAACAAAGTGATAGAGGCAGGAAGGGGCACACAGCTGCCTCACTGCTGGGAAGAAGGCTTATGAACAGTGAGAAAGCTGGAGTCTCCCAGTGGAAATCCCAGTGTGGCCTCCTCTACACTAGCATTACAATACAGGTGCAGCCAGTTCACAAGTGGGAGCCAGGAGCCAGAGAGGTGGGGAGGGAGTAATCAGCTGGAACCTGTTGGCCTATCTCAGGCTGGCTGGGACACCTCCTTGTCCATCTGACTCCTCTGGTCCCATGTCCTCAGCTATAAAATAGGAGAGACTGTATATACTGGGAGAAGATGTATATAAAGTATTTACAAACAGTACAGCCAAGGCAGACACAAAGGCTTTGTTCTTTACACCTGTGGTTTCCAAACTCGAGTGTATTAGAATCACCTAGACTCTAGGTCCTAGAGGATTGACTAAAACACAAATGTCTGGGACCCTCCCCTAGAGTTTCTGATTCAGTAGGTTGCAGAAGAGCTGAGAGTTTGCATTTCTAACAACTTCTTAGGTGGTGTTGATACTACTTGGTCAGGGACCACACTTTTAGATCTACTGATTTAAACTATCCCTGCCTTTCTGCCTATCTGCTCAGTTTGCTAATTCCGCTAGCTCTAAGTTCCTGCGACTACTGCAGAACAAGGAAGGGACCTGTTATATGATGGAAAATATCCTGGATTTAAATGAAAATCTAGGGAGTCCTCTCTGCACGTTTTATTTGCAACTTATCAAGTCTCGTTTTCTTTTGGCTTTTTTCTGACCTCTTTTTCTTATTTTTATCCTCACGGGGGGACATTTTTGCATTTACCTTCAGATACAACAGGAGGGAGGGAGGGAGGGGGAGAGAGAGAGAGAGAGAGAGGGAGACGTCAATGAGAGACACATTGAGTGGCTGCCACCCACACGACCCCAGCCAGGGCTGGTGACAAACTGCAACGAGATGCCCTTAGCGAGAACCGAACTCGGGCCTCTGGTCCGCTGACCCACGCTCTGACCGCTGAGCCAAACCGGCCAGGGCTGACCTAAGAGCTATTACTCTGTCCGCTCTGGCCTGGAGCGGGGCTCCACACCTTTCCCATCCATTCATCTCAGGGACTCAGACTGTTCTAAGGCTGTAACTTCACTTCACCCTGGGAGCTGCCCAGTCGCCATCCCCAAGGGTGCACCTACTCCGGTAGCCGCCGCCGCCGCCGCCGTCCCTAGTGCAGGTCCCGCTGCCGCCCCGAAATCTCCGGCTGCGGCCCAGCCCAGTGTAGCCCAGGCCTCCGCGCAGCTCTGGCGCCCCCCCCCCCCCCGCTCCCACCCCCTCCTGCAGCGAGCAACTGGCCTGCAGAGAGGCCCGCGGCGTCGAGCCCTCCCCACCTGCAGAACGACAGAAGGATGGCTGGCTGCAGGGACCGGGAGCACTCCCGCCCTCCCCGCGGCCCCGCTCCCTCACCCGCCGCCCCGCCTCTCCCGCGCGCCTTGGGCGGCTCCATTTTCTCCGGGGCGGCCTGAGTCCTCCGCGCGGCCGCGCCGGGCAGGCCCGACCGCCGCCTCCGGCCCCACACGGGTTGGGGCTCCAGCTCGCCTGTGCAGCTGCGGGCCAGCGGCGCGCTCAGGGGCGGGCCCTCAGCCGTCGAGGGACCAGGGCACCAGGCGAGGGCTCCCACCCTGGGGCTCCCCGCCAGACCCGGGCACTTTGAGACCCCAAGGGAGGTACGTAGAGCTGAAGCGTCCCACGCTGAGCGCCCCGCCCCTCCCGAGGCCAGCACCTACCGAAAGACGCAGGTGGCCCCGGCCTCCCGCCGCCACTGGCCCGCCCGGGACCCCCTCAGTGCAGTCTGCCGCGCGACGCCCCGAGGGAGACGCACGGGCTCTCGGGGCTGCCCGCGGCCGCCCCCTGCGCTAGGGCCGCGAGCACTCCCCGGCAGTGCGGGTGTCTGAACACCGAGGAGCGCTCCCTCCCTTCGAAGACCCAGCCCCTTCCCCCGGCTCCGCTTACTCAGGGACCGGAGCCCTCTCCCTGCTGCCTCGCGAAGATGTAAGGCTGCTCCCCGCCACCAAGGGAGAAGACAGCCAAGAGGAAGACGCCGTGCACCCGTGACAGGTGGTTCTCGGCGTCTTCACCGCCCGCGGCTCCGGAAGCCGAGATCCTTCGGACAGAGGGGGACAGAGGGTGCCGAGTCCCCACGCCCTCGCTTTGGGTCCTGGGGCCGCCCGCCTGGGGCAGAGACTGGTGGCCGACAGGACTCCAGAATTTCTTACCTGAGGGACTTAGAGGCCGTGGTCGATTTTGAAGAGATGGGAGACTAGGTTTACGTGCCATAACATGAGATGTTACACTATTTCAGGAGGCTTAATGGAGATGGGATGGGAAGAGGCTCCAGCCACCCTGTGGCTCCCCCGCTGGTTATGGGCCCTCTGCTTGGCGGGAACAGGTTCCTGGGTATGGGCTAACTCGGTGGGGCCTATTGCCGCCCTTCCCCAGAGTTCCACTCAAAGAAGGGACAGTCAAGGTCCCGGGGCGCACGTTGCTGCCGAACACCCGGGATGCAATGTGGCGGGCCCGTGGCCTGCCTTCTGGCTCCTGTAGAACCTCCCACTCATAGGTTAGCACCCACGTCTATCCCCGCTCGCGCCGCAGTTAGATACTGGCCAGGGTCTGGCGCCCACAACTGCATGCCTCTGGGAGTCCGGGCGGCCCCCACTGTCACCACCACGCTGCTCCCGTCGTCGCATTGTGTGGGCCCCGCCGGTGGAGAACTGCCAAGGCCCCTCTGTGTCTGGGAGCCAGGAAGGAGGCAAGGATCATAGAGCACCATCCCGGTCCAGGTGTGGTGGGTAGAAAAGGGAGGAAGGAGCCTAGAGTTCCCCTGAGGAAACTAGCCGAGAGGCTGGCTCCAAGCCGCTATGTGGGTTGCTCGGTCGGTCGGTGACGTTCGTGTCCTGGGGGCTGAGTTGGCGAGGGTGAAGATAGCAAAAAAGGAGCCTGGGACTCGGAGCTAGAGCAGAGAATGGCTCCTGAAAGGTGACAGAGAGATAGCGGGGTTGGGAGGGAGGGCAGGATGTCAATGGGGAAAAGAAGAGAAAACCTCTCAGGAGCCAGACTTGCCTCTCCAAGCGAGCTCCTAACCCCACCGTTAGTGCATACTGGCTCCTGGAAGGCGGCCCCAAACCAGCTTTGGTCACCGCAGCAGCTCCGTCGGTGCCGGCTGATACCTCTGCAAGTTTCTCTCCTGGAGCACCCCTTCCAGTGAGTGACAAGGGAGTTGTACTGAGGTCGGTACTGCAGAACTCCAACCTGTTCTTGGACTTAGCCTGGTGGCCCCACCCTCAGGCGGTGCTGAGAACCCAGGGCCTGTCCCTTCTCCAGCTGAGTGATAGGGATCCTAGGATTCAGGCACACACTGCACTTCTCAGCCCACATTTTCAAAGTACCCTCTGGGCGAGTTGGCTGCAAGGGTTTGAGGCCTCTGAAGGAGCCACTGGGACCCAGACTGTTGCCACTGCAGTCCCCAACCCTAGGAAAGTGCCTCTGGCCAGACAGTTCTCTGGTGTCAGAAAGCACTTACTCCCAGCTCTGAGTCACAGCAGCAGCTGGCAGTAGCGGCCCATCACCTGTTCCGCTGCATCTTTCAGCCTCTAAGGCTCCAACTGCCACTTTCAGGAGTGTCCAGCTACTCGCTAGCCACCTCCGAGTCCTAAAGCCAGCCTGGCCACTCCCACCTCAGACCCTGGGATTTCGAAGGAGGGGAGGGTGGGGCGTGTAGTCAGAGAGGTCCCCAAGCTTCCTGGAAGAACCTTGCAAAGTCTCCCACACAGGATTCAAGTCTCCAGCTACTGGGTCTGCTACTGGCTGCTCCAGGGAATGGGTTGGGTACCAGACAGTGTAGGAAGTGTCTCCAGCCTTTTGAAGCAGGATTGTGACAAAGTGGAGAGCCACACCCCAGACATCCCACATGGGGCTTCTAGATCTCTCATGTCAGTAACAGTGGGGTGTGTGCACACTTCATTGGTAGTGACAACTGTGATAACACATAGGAAATGGCCCAGCTGGTGTGGTTCAATGGATTGAGCATCATCCCATGGACTGAGAGGTCCCGGTTCGATCCCAGGTCAGGGCACATGCCCGGGTTGCAGGCTCAATCCCCGGCAGGGGGTGTGCAGGAGGCAGCCAATGGATGTTTCTCTCTCTCACCCTAAAAAATCAATAAAAACATAAAAAAAAGGAAATGTTCTTAAACTGCTCCAAGTAAGCCCTGGCTGGTCTGGCTCAGTGATTGGAGCATCGGCCCTAATAAGTCTCGGGTTTGATTGCAGTCGGGGTTGCGATTCCTTCAGGCCCTGGTTGGGGCCCTGCAGGAGGCAGCCACTCAATGTGTCCCGTTTTTTTTAAAAAAAAAACCTTTTGAGCTTTTCATTTATATTTATTTATTTATTTATTTAATCCTCACCCGAGGACATTTTTCCATTTTTTGTTCAGGTAGAGTGGGAGAGAGAGAGAGGAAGAGAGAGAGAGAAACATCGACGTGAAAGGGATAAAAAAAAGAACTACTGCTATTGCCTGGCTGGTGTGGTTCAGTGATTTGAGCGTGGACCCATGCACCAAGAGTTTGATTTCCGGTCAGGGACATGCCCAGGTTGTGGGCCCAGTCACCAGTAGGGGGCATGCAGGAGGCAGCCAATTGATGTTCTTTCTCATTGATGTTTCTCTTTCTCTCTGTCTAGAATCAATAAAGAAAAAAAACTAAAAAAAAAAAAAAAAAAGAATCATTGCTATTTGCAGATTCAGTAGTTGCTTAACAAAACCTATTGTATAATAATGTGTTCAGCAGTTCCATTTATGGGGAGTGGGTTCTATCTACTGATAGGGCACACCAGACTCATTCTGATGACTTACAAACACAATGATGATAAATAATTCCACACAACAAATGACAGCTTGTATTAGAAACTCTTATCAAGAGAGATGAACCAATGAACCAGAGTTTATGTTTTGACCCACTCCTCCCTAGGCTTTGCCTGCCACCAATAAAGTCCATAATGAAAGGGGTGTTTGTAGTATAGTGCTCAAGACTGAATGGTTGTGTCCCCACCAAGTTCAGAGGTTGAAGCCTAATCCCCAATATGAGAGTATTTGGAGGTGGGGTCATTGGGAAGTGATTAGTCATGAGGATTTCACCCTTGTGGGTAGAACTGGATTAGTGCCTTTATAGAGACACCAGAGAGCTCCTTTGTCCCTTCTGCCATATTAGAGCTGTGTATGAACCAGGAAGCAGTCCTTCACCAGATACCAAATCTGCCAGCACCTTGATGTTGGATTTTCCAACCTCCAGAACTGGGAAAAATTAATTTCTGCTTATAAGCCACCCAGACTATGGTATCTATAGCAGCTCAAACAGGTAACACAAACAGCTACTGCAACAATCTATCTTTTGGCCTCTTCATGTCTCAGGATAACTGTTGATGGAAACAGGGGACCATAAGACGAGATGCTGACTTACTTCATTAAGAATACCTCTATTTCAAGGGAACGCTGAGAGAGTCCTTCCAGAAATGCCCACAATCCCAAGAATATTGCCCTGGCCTGGTTCCACTCCAGAACGGGACCCTCATTTTTGCTGTCTCCACATGTGGACACAGTTTTCACCTTCCACTCATGATTCCTCCCCTGTCTCACTCACACTTCTCCCCTGGGATAACCCAATCCTTGACACCAATTCTAAACTAACCCATCTAAAATCAGTCCAAATCAGATTCCCAGGAGAAAAAAAATTGTTTATTTCAGTGCACAGCTATAGCGTTCCTGTGCCCTAGGCTGGGTTAGCAGGAACAGGAGAGATGTACTTAATTTGTCCTGAGGGGGTAAAGAGCTAAATCACCCTTCACTCCCAGTACTGATCCTCAGAAGCCCAAGAGCCTGAGCTCCAGATACCAGGACATAATGGTAGGGCTCACCCTGCTCCAAAAGACTCAAACAGCCTGCTCCCAATAAGGCAGGCCCCTCTGCTTCTTTGTCTCCTGCCCTCTCTCAGGACACAAAACCCTTCTATCTGGCCAGGCACCTGTTGATGAATTCCAGGAGAATGTATCCATCTCTTCATCCTTAGCAGCTATACTAGGTCTCTGATACCCCATTTTGGCTCATCCCCAAGGTCAGTCTCTGGAGGTACTGCTGACGCAGAGGGGGCAAGCGGGGATATAGCTCAAAGCCCTCTGGGAGGGTAGAATTAGGAAGCTTATAGTGAAGGAGGTGCTGCCGGAGACCCTGCAAAAAGAAAAGAAACTTTATGAAGTGGGTAGTGAGATCCTGTTGAGAGCTCTGTCCTTGAAGACCCTCTATTCTCCCATCCTCCAGGATGTGCCCAAACTTACCTCATCTGCCAGCAACCAAGTTTTCTGGAGCATGCTCCTGCGGGCAGCCTTTACCTCGTCCTAGAGGCAGAGCAGGGAGAGGTGGCACTGGGCCAAGGGCTGGTACCCATTGCCTGGCCCTCACCTCCTCTCCAGCTGGCCCAAAGACAGCACAATTGTAGGTTCCATTCCTCCCTCTGGAGATGGGGATGTAACTTACTGAGCTCTTTGGATCCTGGGAGAAGATGAAGCTGTTGACATGAGCCACAGTCACGGCATAGAGCACTGGACACCAGTGTGGACGAAGTGCACCAGTAACCAGGGCCTGGAAGTAGAGCTGAAGGAGGGCCAGGTTGTCTTCAGGAGGCCCTGTGTAGCATTCCAGAGACACTGGCAACTGTGACAGGGAAGATGAAATACTGAGGGTGAGGGTGGGAATACATATCACTGGACAACAGGGTGAATAGTTGATGGTCGCATAAATCAAATAATGAGGGCAGAGGTCAGGTCCTAGACAGACATACTTCTCTCTCTATCACAAGAATAAGGTTAAAGACTGAAAAGCTGGAAAGCAGGGGAAACTGAGAAGCAGTTATATATCTCTACTGCCTATTACTATTTGTTTAAACATCTACTTAAAATGCAGACTGGTGCAGCCACTATGGAAAACACTATGGTGTTACTTCAAAAAATTAAAAATTGAACTTCCATTTGACCCAGTGATCCCACTTCAAGGAATATATCCTAAGAAGCCTGAAACACCAATCAGAAAGAATATATGTACCCCCATGTTCATAGCAGCACTATTTACAATTGCTAAGATCTGGAAACAGCCCAAGTGTCCATCAGTAGACGAATGAACAAAAAAGCTGTGGTACATGTACACAATGGAGTACTATGCAGCTGTAAGAAAGAAAGATCTCTTATCCTTTGAGACTACATGGAGGGACCTGGAAAGTATCCTAAGTGAAACAAGCCAAGCAGAAAAAGACAAATACCACATGATCCCACTTATTTATAGAATATAATACACATAACAGTCTGAGGTATAGGGTAGACCCAGAAACATGGAAGTAGGGTACAGACTGATAATCCCCAGAAGAAGGGGGAAAAGGGGGAGGAAAGAGATAAACCACAGAACTTATATGCATGTATGCATAACCAATGGACGTGGACAACAAAGCTGGGGATGGGGTGGGGGGGATGGGGAGGAGGGTGTCAATGGGGTAAAAAAGGAGAAACATCTGTAACAATAATAATAATAATAAAATAAATAAAAAAATTCCTCATATATAAAAAAAAAATCTACTTAAAATCAAAACTTTCAAAATATGTTCAATTGCTCAATTACATTAGTAAACCTTTCAACCCTGGCCAGTGTGGCTCAGTTGGTTGGAGCATCGTCCTGTGCACTGAACGGTTGCTGGTTCGATTCCAGGTCAGGGCACATACCGGGGTTGCAGATTCA